TTTGGTCAGAACAGATGTATCTACCTGGTGGGCCAACGCAGAGACACACAATGGCATGTACAGCAGCACCAGCAGCCATGGCTGCAGCAGGCTATAATGTACGGTTTTTGACGTGCTCTCCACTAGAAGCTGTGTCGAGTCCTGTAGTGTGACGCCAGCATAAGCCAGTCCAGACTTCTCTCTTTCCCTACCTCTCCTTTCTTCTTCCTTTACCCTTTATCCCTCTCCCTCTGTGCAGGCAGTGCAGTGGACGCTAGTCTCTCTCTCCTGAAGGAGGCGGAGCAGCGTCTGAAGACCCTGGTCCGGGAGCGACTGGACCAGGCCATCAAGGCAGGGGACCTGGCCCAGGTCGAGCGCTTCTTCAAGATCTTCCCCCTGCTGGGGCTGCACGAGCAGGGCTTGGCCCGCTTTGCACAGTACCTGTGCTCTCAGGTCAGTCTCGCTCTCACCGTCTGCTGTCCTTGTACACGTCCTGCCTCCCAGTCTGTCATTCTGTCTGCCCGGCCCGGGCCTGTGTCTGTTCACGGCTGACGTCATCCTGGGGCCTCTTTCCTCTTTCTGCTCCCAGCTGGCCAGTAAGGCAGAGGAGAACCTGTTGCTGGCGGTCGGGGGGGAGCTGAGCGAACGCAGAGCAGCGCTGGTGTTTGCGGACACCCTGACCCTGCTGCTGGAGGGTAAGATCAGGACGGGTCTGAGGAGCGAGGAGGAAAGGCTGAGTTCTCCTTTTCAAATACACCCTCGATTTGGTGCATTAGAGATGCATTCACAAAACGGGGGACTCCATTTTCAATAGCATTTTTATTTTTCGAGGGTCACAGTGAGCTGGAGACTGTGCCAGACCACCACAGGGCACATGTACACTTAGGGGAAGGATGCACTTTAGAGATGCCAGTTACCCTAGTATCTAGCGGTGGTCTCCACAGGAAATGTGTCCAGCGCTGATGGATCATCTCCATATGTCCGACTCCAGGGATCGCACGGGTTATAGAGACGCACCAGCCAATCGTGGAGACGTACTATGGTCCGGGCCGGCTGTACATGCTGATCAAACACCTGCAGGGGGAGTGTGACCGGCAGGCTGAGAAAGTGGTGGACAAGTTCATACAGCAGCGGGACTACCACAGGAAGGTCAGACCTCGTGCCGGTTGGCCTCGGTACACCAGTCCTCTGGCTGGTCTTTGATTGCGGTAGTGCTGTTATAGATTTGCTTTGTGTCTGTGCCGTCAGCGTGTCAGCGCTGTGATCTGCCTGGGGTGGGGGTGCTGACGCTCATTTCTCCTGCTCTCCTGCCTTGCAGTTCCAGATTGTGCAGAACAGCATGATGCGGACTGCAGCCACGGAGAGAATTGAGCCCAGGTCAGTGTGCCGTCAGTCCGCCGGGCCTGTGGTATAACACGGTTTGATCAGGCCAGTCTTTCTATTAGGATGTCAGCGCAGTGTCTGTAAAAGCGTTTAAAGTCATGGTGACCGTGTGTCCTTGGCACCCAGCGGTGCTCTGCCTGACTCGTGCTCCTCTTGGCGGTGTGTGTAGGGACCTCGACCCGGTCCTGTTGGAGGTGACGATGATGAACGCCCGAGCAGAGCTGTACCTGCGTTTCCTGAGGCGACGAGTCACAGCGGATTTTGAAGTCGGCGACGGCACAGCCCCGGAGAGCACAGTGCAGGGTAACAGGCCACTGCTTTGTCAACGGAGTGGGCAGCTCCTGGCCACGAGGGCTGCAGGGCCCTTTTCCCCGTCTTCCCTTTGATTCTAATTAATCCAAATATAAAAGTTATTGGTCAAACGATCTGTTATGTGCTAGAATGTCTGGTATTGAGGATTGTGCCTGGGAGAATATACATATCGTATCCTCACTGTTTGAAGGGCTGTGCTTCAGTGCAGCTGTGTCTGTGCAGCTCCTCAACTCTTCCTGGGCTGTGTTAGT